TGTTGAATTGGCATGGGGCCCCCAAGGTAACCAGAAGTCCCATTTGCTCAAGAAAAGAAATGTTTTAATGGCCACATTACTATTTATTGGTTTGTAGCGGGGCCATTGTTGTTTCCCTTTTAAAGAACAGTTTCCCTTTTAAGACTGCATGTTGTCAGAAAGAGTTTGATTGGCTCAGATCTCAGCAGTACTGAAGTGTTTTGTGTTTCAGTTTCATTACAGAGGCAGACAATGTAACTTTATACTGCACATGACTACAGGACCAAGACGCGTTGCAAGGAGGAAGGGGGTTGGTGAGCCACGTGTGCCTTTGCAGAGGACATGTGGGAGCTAGTCTGCAGCCCCTTCTGTTGAAGTACACTGACACTGTTTCTAGAACAGCAGAGGTTGCTAAGGACAAAGATTATCTACAGCAGCTGGAGTCAGCAGCAGTTGCGATCATTGGTACCAGTCACCCGCGACGGCAGTTACCAACAGCAATGACATCTCCCACCGCAGAGAGAGGTCAGAGTGTTGGAAATCGCACAGGAGGCGTGTGACCATGCCAGGTGAGGCACCTCACAGATTGTGCAGCACCGACAATTGACAACAGAAAACACTAGCCAGAGAGAGATCCCCATTCATCATCCTTTGAAGGAGTTAACCCCTGGAGACTGTTCTTCTTGGATGTGGTGAGCAACTGCTAACCAGTGACATGTCAGTCCTTAAGAGCGATCCACAGATTCACTAACACAGGCCTGTGCAACACATAGACTCACATAGTGTTACAATCCCACAGTATACAAGTAAATTTGGGACTGAGCCTAAAGAGATGTCAGATTAGCTGGGGACATATTGCTGCTATAGTTGCAGGGGGTTAATTCTGATCTATAGCTATACCGGTATATATGTATATACATGAATATTGTGTTTATTGATGTTATTGTGCCAATTCTAGAAGGTTTGTGTATTTAGTGCATTTAACTGCTATTTCCCAAGTTAATATGCAGTCTATTAGCAGAGTTTTACCTGTCTTATTAAACCTATTATAAAACTTCCCACAAGGTGTACTGGTGTGCTGTGGATCCAATATATATACAGTATGGTTCATCACTGAAGTAAGGACAGAAGTGCCCAATAATTCCAGCGGCTCCTTCGGGGGTGAGCGATACAGGTTTAATAGAGAAGGTCTGTTAAATTTGTTCAAATGTTAATTATTAGTATAGGGCAAGCCATAGATTATGCAATTTATGTGATCAGTGTTGATGGGGAATCCCTCCCGCAGCTCTTTTGTATTCTGTCGACATGGAGCCTTCCCGGATGGTAAAACACGGTGATTACTGCTAGCGGCTATAGCCTGCTGAACTGGCCGAGATTCGATCCATCTATAGCTAACTTTAGTCTACTTTGAAACATGCAGTCATGCTTGCTTTGTGCATCTAAGCTATATTCCCTTCAATTCTAATTTCAAGTCATTCTTATGACAGAAGGTCATTTGTTGATAAGGATTGTGTCCAAAGTTCAATAACGTAGCAGGGTGTGTGAGCGAGGGAGATACACTGCTAAAATAACCACGTCAACTTTACCTTGTTAATAACTACTTTATCTCTAAGGCTGCATTCACACCTGAGTAAAGCAGTTCTCAGGGTTTTTTCCAGGCATAATGTTTCTAGATTTTTCAGGCACATTTAGAAGCATTTTAGAAGTGAATTTTAGGGTGCACTCACACTAGCATCTTGAACTGGCCCCAGGAGTGGTTCAGTGTCTTGGGCTGGTTCATGTTTGTAGTGTGCATGCTCCAAATCATGTGTACTGCATCCAAGACAACTTGGAAGAGGTGGTCCATGGCGCTGTTCAATTGTGGTCTGGTATGGTTGGTTTCAGTGTGAGTGCAAACCATGCCAGAGCATAGTTCTCTCCATTGAGGATTGTGTACTCAAGCAGGGATCTTTGGTCTTGTTTGCAAGGGAGTGTGCCCAGGAACACTTCCTAATAGCCCAGTGTGAGCCGATCAGCTGGGAGTGGGCGGGGGAGAAAAATCAAACTCTTTTTTTTTCAATGTGAGTGCACCATAAGAGTTTTACATGTGTATTCCAGATTCAGCCAATAGAAAGTGCTAGGGGGAGGGGATCAGTTCTTACAGGTGGAAAAAAAGTCTACAAAAAGGTCAGGTACTGTAATTAGGTAATTGTTCCTGTGTCCTGGCTGTTTAACTGTTTTAATGTCAAGATCCACCCACATGCTGTTGCAGCTTGCTCAGCCTCTCAGCCTCAAAGCCTGAGCAAGCCACTCCTGCCCCTGGCACAGCCTGGCAGTCAGTGCTGGAAGGCAGAGCAGAGAGCAGATGACTGACAGTCACTGCACTCTGCTCAGTGAAGACTGAGAACTGAGCAATCATTTTATTGCTCTGTGTTTAGTCTTAGAGCTGGCAGGGACTGATGCTGTATCCACATACCCAGCACTTCTTCTTTAACCTTGTCTCTTCTGGTCTGGGATTCTATAGCTAATTTTAGCTTAGGGCTCAATAACCAGCACAGTCCAAAGCCAGGTTAGGCATCTGATGGCCACTTCTGGTAGCTAGAGGTCCCGTTGAATGTCAGACTAGAAACTACTAGGGAGGGACTAAAGCACAGAGGAGATTAGCTGACTCCATGTTCCAGTGCCACACAACAGTTTCTGTGTGTGAGAAGCTGTGTTCTAGGCTGGTTGGACAACAGTTAGAGGATCTCTCCATCAATGCTGATTGTGTCTTTAGGTCTCCAACACAAAAATGGACTGTCAAGTTGCTAATAAAAGTGCACAGATAACTAATTCCTGCCAGTAACCTGCATAGTCACACATGATGGCGCATCAACGTGCACACTTCTCTGCACACTAGTGCACATTGATGCATCGGTGCATGTTGGTGCATGCTGAATCTCAGAATCTGAGCCAGATGTCCTGTTTTCACTGGATGATCTTCAGCTACCCATAGTCCTTGTTCCTATGTCTCCTGTTTTTTCTGCTGCATGACTACTCGTTGCTGACTCAGCTTGTCCCGATATCTCATTGACTCTCTTCTGATCATGACCTTGCTGTTTGCCTTCGCTTCTGTCTGATCTCCTGTGTATGAAGCTGACTTATCTCCACACCCTGCTTCTGTTATCGGCTGCTTGCTTGTGCATTACTCCAACTTGTCTCCAGACCCTGCCTCTTTTTACCAGTAGCCTACCTATGTCTTATCCTGGTCTGGCTCATGACCATGTTTTCTTTTCCAGTCTAACCGTTTATGACCCCAGCTCAGCTTACAGATCAGGTCTCTTCCATCTACCTTCATCTGGTCCTGGCTTGTCTGCTATCCAGATCTGCCTTCTGGGTTCTACCTTGTACTTTCAGACCACAAATGCATGGGCTGGATTCCATGGGTAATCATGGGACATCCTTCTGTTGAATCAGTCACTGTCTTTGCAGACTATCTCTACAGACCACTATCTACCATCCAGGAATCCAGCACCTGTGCTACCCTGACCTTTGCACACCTGTTCCCAACTCTTACACTTTGACGTCCTGAGTTCATCCATGATCCCAATAATCCTCAGAATATCATGGTTATAGGCACACAATCCTTAGGTAGATTAGAGCAAAGGGACTGTGGTTTTTCATTCAGCCTATTGTCAAAAACATTGCTTTAGTTCAAGAACCACCAACCCTATCCTATGCCTTAACAGTCAGTCTGATTCACATTTGTGCTGAGTTTTACCCTTGGCATATCACTTTCTAGATGTCTTTGACAAGAAGGAAACAGACACACTTCCCCCCATCTGTCCTCCATCTGTCCCATCGAACTGCTTTCTGGTGCAAAAATCCCATTTGGCCGCATATTCCTTAGCCAGAGATGGAAACCCTTCAAAAATATATAGATGAAAATCAAGAGAAGAAAGTCATCCTTCCTTCATTCTCACCAGCAGGGGCCGGGATATTCTTTGTGGGAAAAAAAAACATACCCTTCAACCTTGTATAGACTATCAGGACTTTTAAAAATCATTACTGGCTCCCTGTAGTCAGAACTGCCCAGATGTTCACCAAACAGGATTTAAGTGGCACCTGTAACTTGGGGGATGGGAGGTGAGTGGAAAACGCTTTCTGGACTCAGTTTGGTCACTTAGCGTATCTACTGATGCCATTTTTGTTTGTATAATGCCCCTGCCATGTTTCAACATTTTAGAAAATACCTGGACTTCCTCTTAATCGTATACCTCGAACACAGCCTTTACGCAAAAGCAGAAATATGCAAGTTCAAGAGACAGTCCATCCAGTTCCTAGGATTGGTGATCTCCACAGAAGGAATTGCCATGGACCCCCAAAAGTATTAGCCATTCTTGAATGGCCAGCACCTATCAACAGGAAGGGTTTTTATAGATTTGTGTGGTTTGCCAACATCTTCCACTGTAATTTCATGAAGGGATTCTCTACCATTATTGGTTAAATCACACAAATCCCCCGCCAGCACACATGGTTCCACTGGTCCCTGAAAGCCTTGTCTGCTGTCAATAAAAAGAAGACACTTTTCAATTTTGCAACATCCTGATTAGGCTTTGCCTTTGGTGCTCGAAGTTGACACTTCTGAAACAGCAATGTGGCCGTTTTTTTTTTTTTTTAATACTGTCACCAGAGGAATTGCGGTGTAATTATTGTGACATTGTAGTACTGTGGCGGTGATCGTGTACAGTGGCTGGCTGCCCTGATATCCCTGTATGTCAGTGCCGCCAGCCATTGTTTCTGATCACTGCCATTCATGGTCTTGGCTGTCAATCACTGGGTCCCGACCGGTGATTACTCACTGGCACCCGGTGATCGCCAAGTATTACCGATGGGGGAGAGAACTGTATGTAAACAATACAGTTCTCTCCCCTGTCAGATCCTGCACACTGCTTTGTATGGCTTAGCATAGCAGAGCCGTACAAAACAGTGTGCTTACTGTGGAAAGCACAGACACAGCTTCAGAGTAAACACACACACAGCACACAGTTAACCCTTTAATCGCCCCAGATGTTTACCCCTTCCTGCCCAGTGCCATTAGTACAGTGTCAGTGCTTTTTATTAGCACTGATCAGTGTATTGGTGTCACTGGGGATGTCAGTGACACCAAGTCAGTTCCCCTCAGTGTAAGAATGCCCACCGAAGTCCTGCTATAAGTCGCTGATCGCTGCCATTACTAGTAAAAATAAATAAATAAAAATTCCAGTATATATACACCACCATTTGTAAACGCTATAACTTTCACGTAATCCAATTAATCTACATGTATTGGGATTTTTTGTAGCACAGACATGTAGCAGAATCCATTTTGGCCTAAATTTATGACAAAATTTGAATTTTTTTTATTGGACATGTTTAATATCAAAAAGTCAAAAATATATTTTTTTTACTAAAAATTTGTCTTTTTCTGTTTATAGCACAAAATATAAAAACTGCGGAGGTGATAAAAAACCACCGAAAGAAAGCTTTATTTGTGGGGAAAAAAGGATGTAAATTTAATTTGGGTGCAGCGTTGCATGACCGTGCAATTGTCAGTTAAAGTAAGGCAGCGCCGTAATGCCAAAAATGGCCTGGTCAGGAAGGGAGTTAAATCCTCTGGAGGGCAAGTGGTTAAAGAGTTCCCTCATGACAGGCGCTCTTTAAAATGTGGGCAGCACAGTGGCTAAATGGTTAACACTTCCACCTAGCAGTACTAGGGTTGCTGGTTCAAATCCCAGCCACAGCACTAACTGTCTGGAGTTTGCATGTTCTCCCTGTACCTGCATGAGTTTCCTCCGGGTACTCCAGTTTCTTCCTCCAAAGACATGCTGGTAGGTTAATTGCTTCCTGTCTAAATTGTCCCTAGTGTATGTATGAATGTGAGTTAGGGACTGATGTGAATGTACAATATATATGTGTAAATTGGCAGCACTATATAAGTACCTGAAATCAATGCAGTATTTTGTGTAACTGATGTTGCAGATAACTTATACAATAAACTGTGAGAAAAGCTGATCGCTCCAGATTGAAAACTCACTTCCTTGCATTACTGAGAGAAATGACCTAAAAAAACAAAACCTCCCTGTGAATAATTTCCTAAGCTCTTTGGTGCCACCATGTGGCAACAGCTGCAGATTAGATTTATATCATTTACCTTTTTTTCTTTGTGAACAAACTACAAATATTAGATCTACAATTGATCTCTGATATTTACTTGTTTGAAAAATAGCACTACCTTAAATAACTCAATATTTTATTTTTCAAAAATAAATTAGATAAAGCCCTAGATATTTCAAAACTATTACTAAAAATATATGTGTGGATGGCAAATTAATAAAAAAAAATAACCACATAAAATGAATGAGCATAAAAGTTCTGCCCATTAGTATCAGCTCAATCCTCGGTGGACAGATGGAAATCTAACAGGTAGTCCCATACACATCTACTTGGACGCAGTGGCTGCACAGACACAGATGTTGATTCCAGTTTGACAATTTTGACAATTTAATGCATGTCTCTGAACAAAGACACTCAGGGACATGCACCCATGTGGCTGTCAGACTGGGCCTAGCATCTGTGCCTGTGCAGTCACTGAATCCCAATAGACATGAATGGGACTGGCTACACACAGATGCATGGAACACCTGTGCATCCCATGTGGGCAAAGCCAGATTGGTATGCCTGTGTGAAAGAGGTCCAAAGCTCACACACAGCAGTGAGGAGTTGGGAGGGAGGGGGAGTGAAGATCGGGCCAGCACAGTGAGGGACGTGACACTCTGGAAATATTGGATTTTTAGAAACTTTAAAAAGTGTCAAAAAAGACAAGATCATAAACTCCTAAGTGAATTAAAGGAAAGGTTAGGTCTGGTGACAGGGTCTCTTTAAGGAGGAACGTAAGGACCAGCACCAAGAAGGAGCCGTAGAGAACATGCCAGTGACAGCTGGTGACCCTGGTGACAATCAGAGATTTCCTCACTTGAGGCATCCATGCACACTAACTTTTTAATGCATTTTTTCTGCTCCTATAAGCTAAATAGTGTTGTTCTATGTGTCCATGCACACTACTTTAGGCTATTAGCATTTTATGAACTTCAGCTTCTAGGAGCAGAAAAAAAATTGTTTTTGTAGAGTTTTTTGGAGCGTTTCTTCCAGCAGAAGAAAATGCTGAATGCTTCTAAATGCTACTAAACATTTTTTGAGCTTATAAAAAACAGTAGTGTGTATGGAGCCTGAGGTATTTCCTATCACTTCTTGTTTGACAATATAACAAGAAGTGAAGGGAAATGACAAAAAAATTACGGGGTTATAACCTTGCATTACTCTGCATTACTCTATCCAAAATGAAAAGTATGGTTTGTCTATAGTTTCTACTTTAAAGTAGACTTGGGGGCCCTCAGGGAATTCCTCTCACTTGCAGGGATTTCCTCCAAAATAAATAAAAAAGGTTTGCCCATTTTGATTTTGGATAGAGTAAGGGAGGTTTAACCATTAGCCGCCCGGCCAATGGCAGTTTGGCGGCTTCAAAGGTGTTGCTGCATTCCGGGTGCATGCCATTTGGCGTGCTCCCGCACATGCGCAGTTACGATGTACCGTCGTACCTCGGACACGGCCGATGACAGATCCGAGTACCGGCTCCCGTTGCTGGTACCATGTGACCTGTGACCAATCACAGCAGGTCACATGACAGTTGACCATGCCATCCTGCTGTGACCAATCACAGCAGGTCACATGACAGTTGTATACAATGGATGGCTTCATTCATGCCATCCATTGTATACTAGTGCCTAGCTGTGAATGGTCACAGCTAATCACATGCACATGTCATGTGATTAGCTGTGACCAAATCACAGCTAAGCACAAAAAAAAAAAAAAAAAAAAAAGCTGAATGAATCGATTTCATTCAGGTAAATGCTTGCTTATAGCAAAGTAATTCTTTGCTATAAGCAAATTGTGTAAAAAAAAAAAAAAAAATACTGATCACTTCCCCAAAGTAGTACAATGTTACTATGGTAACATTGTACTACTTTGGTCATAGTAAAATATGAAAAAAAAAATCTTAAAAAATTTAAAAAAATGTAATAAAAAATTAAAAAAATAAAAAAATAAAAAAAATAAAAAATATATATATATATCTTTTTTTTTCCATACTGTCACCAGTCAGTTTCCCTGTTCACCGCCATGCCAGTTATATGATGACGCTGTACTGCACTGGTGACAGTATGTAAAAAAAAAAATAGTGAAAATAATTTTTTTCATTTTTTCATTTTCCGAAAAATTATGACAAAAAAAATACAACTTCAAAAAACTCGCCATGCCTCTTATGAAGTACGTTGGACTGTCTACTCTGCAAAAAGGGGTCATTTGGGGATATCTGTACTATTCTGACATTCTTGGACCTCAAGAAATTAGATTGGCTGTCAGTACTTCAGGATTGATCAATTTTCAGATATATACCATAGTTTGTGAACTCTATAACTTTCCTACAAACTAAATAATACATCCTAATTTGGGTTATTTTCACCAAAGACATGTAGCAGAATACATCTCGGCCTAAATTTATGAAGAACATTTATTTGTAAACTTTTATAACAGAAACAAAGAAAAATGTGTTTTTTTTTCAAAATTTTTGGCCTTTTTTCATTAATTTAGCAAAAAATAAAAACCCCAGCGGTGATTAAATACCACCAAAAGAAAGCTCTAGTTGTGTGAAGAAAATGATAAAATTTTAGTTTGGGTACAGTGTTGTATGATTGCGCAATTGTCATTCAAAGTGTGAGAGCGCTGAAACCTGAAAAATGGCCTGGGCAGGAAGGTGTAAAATTGCACAGTATTGAAATGGTTAAACCCCCCTAAGTTTATTTCTTGACATCTGTGTCCCATTGGGGAGATTTACCTTCACTTCCTGTCCCATAGCCAAAACAGGATCATAGAGGAAAGTGAGAGGAATTCCCTGAGGGCCCCCAGGTCACCAGAATCAGTGTCTCTTTTAGAAAATTTCCCCTCTACTACTTTTCTGGGGACAACCCAAAATTTGAGGGTTCTTTTACTTTCACTTTCGATGATAATGGTAAATAGGACTGCAAGGGACTGCTTGACACCCCCACTGGGTATCTCCACAAAAACTACAGATTCCTCCACTCTGGAACCAGAATATAGCAAATTCACCCCAAGCATCAGGCAGAACCAATGTTGGAGTAAAACAAGGGTGATTTTATTAGCAAATACCACAGCTTTTATACACAAAAACCTTCCCCCTAGAAAGGTATGCCCCACATTACAAGTCCCAGGATAAAATTACATTACATAAACAAATAAACAATCAAACACAAGAAAACAATATATTCCTTCCTGGCACCTAGCAATTTGGAATCTGGAGTGAGAGCTTTACACCTAAATATAATTACCGCAAATAGTTGATGCCAGAAAACCTGAAACCAAAAATAAAGTTTCTTAACCCCACATATGCAGGAATTCACCCCATGCACATAACACATTGCTCCAGGATATTAGTGTCACTATGCACAGTATGCCAAGGGGTCCTAGAAACAGTCCCTCCAGCCCTAATTGCATGTAAAAGGTCAGCCAGGTACCCAGGAAAGGGATATAACCCTCCTGGAGAAAAGGTTCCTTGAGAAGAGGGGGGTCTCCTTAGTCCTGGGTCCATAGGCAGTGGGAAGGAGGCTGGCCTCCAGGCCCCTCCAGGAGCCCAAGTCACGGTGGTTTCTGTGTCAAGGACAAAAAGAGAGGGTGAATCTCCCTAATGGGGACAAAAACTGAAATAAAAAGCTGACAGGTACTGTAATCTATCTCCACTCTATCCACAACTAAAAAAAAAGTTTTGTCTTTAATTATACTTTGAGAGCCAGATGGGTAAGATGGTACCTTTGCCCCTGCTGGGTGAAGGTTACCCTGGGATACACATTTTCTTCCTTTACAGACTGATGTGTGCTTCCTGGACCTTTAAGTATAGTGTGATTGTGGCCCTAGATACCACGTCCTTCTTTCATCTTTTCATGTTGCCCCCTACATTCCCTTGGAGCCTTGCAACTTTTTCTTGGAGGTGATATCACCTTACTGCCTTTCCACCTCATCCAATCAAAGAATGTTTTTCATTCATTCAGAAGACACAAACATTCTGTAAATGGCACCCATAATGAGTGGCCAACCCCCTGTGTTCTGAATGCACACAGGACCCAGACGAAAGCAGAGATCACTAGGGTAGCATTGCCTACATCAGTGATTTCCAGCTTCCAGGGACATCAGCAAAGTATGGTAAAGTTACATTGGTCCATAGTTACATAGTTTCATTGGTCCAAACTAGAGCAAAGTAACTATGTGAAAAAAATCCATACATGGAATTCATCTTTAAAGCATATCAATGATAAGTTCAAGTATCTCTAACCTATGCCTATTATTTTGAATGATCTTGAAGTTTGTAAACAGAGCTAGCCCTCTAAACGCTAGAGGAGCTGAAAGAAGAAGTTTTAGGATCACTGCTTGCAGGCAGCAAGGTACCATGGGCTATATAGTCCTTTGAAATTAAAAGTAAACAGCAGAGGAGAAGCTGCAAAACATGCCAGGAATCCAGAAAGTTCTGGAAAGATGTCCAGCAGACAAGCAGAACTCACACCATGAAAGGAGGTTTTTTTTCAAGCTTTTATCGGATTGTCAAAAATAATTATTTTTGTATTGTTATTATAGAGATGCTGTATAAAATAAAAGTGTGTGTTGTGACCATGGAAATCCTTTAATAGCAAACTTTTGACCAGACTATTGACAGCCAAAGTGACCACTCTCAATGCAGAAATTGCCACAGAAGAGCTTACTGATGTCACCAAAATGGCCCTAATGGTCTACTGTGTTGATATTGTAAACAAAATTCTCCCAGTTTTACTCCCCCTGTATACTTGCCCACTTAAATCACTACTGAAGAGGGAATAACCACACCAAGACCAAAAAGGGTTTGTATACTCTAGACAAGCAGGGGTTTATTTACTAAAGCTGGAGAGTCCAAAATCAGACTCCCTTCTGCATAGAAACCAATCAGCTTCTAACCTCAGCTTGTTCAATGAAGCTTTGGCAATGAAACCTGGAAGCTGATTGGTTTCTATGCAGAAGGGAGCTGATTTTGGACTTCCAGCTTTAGTAAATAAACCCCGCAGTGTCAACACTAGGAGGATGGCTGATCTATTACATATCAAGACATATACCCCTACTTTACTCTTAGTGGTCAACACCAAAAAAACCTTTGACAGACTGAGTTTGCCAAATATGATGTATACGTTACAATACCTAGGGCTTAAGGGCCCTTCCCTCAGTGCTACACAGGCTTCTATTCAGTCCCTACAGCCCAAGTTAAGCTTCCTCAAGCTTCATCTGACAACTTCCCTATGTTCAATGGCAGTATGCTTTCACTCCTACTTTTTGTTTTATGCACTAAATCCTTGGTGAAGATAAGGTCAAATATAGATCAAAAAAGTGATCCAATTCAAAAATAGTGAGTAGAAATTACAACCTATTGCAGATGATATTCTTATGACTCTCAATGGACAATGTATTCTCATAGCGGCTCCCACTGCTGTCAGAATATACTGGTCAGAAGCTGCAGCTGCTGAGTGATAAATGTTTTCCAGTCCTTCGTAAGAAGTAAATTAACCAATCAACATTTGGTCAGTCCCTGCTGAAAAGGTCAAATTGTGATCCATCTATGACCAGCTTAATATTACCTGCTCCCAAGATTGACAATGCTGCTGTCCAAAGGTGTCTCCATTGCTTTTCCAGTGGAGTGGAGGCACTCAAAAACAGGAAGTGTGTTACTGGCTGGATAACCAGGTGAAGAAAAAACACTAAAACAACAAAACAAATGCAGCCACCACATGTAAGGGTTGGTAAGCTGCAATATATTAAGTTTTCCTTTTCTGGTTTCATACTACTTTAAGCAATGACCTCTTACAATGTTTCATTTTTGGAACAAATCAATAGCATTAGGATGACTTTTCTCCTGAAGATGCTTTACCTTTATTAAACACTCCCTATTCTGATGCCAATTATTACATTTACTGAATCCACAAACTGAGACCTGACTAACTTTGAGCATCTCTGAATTAGACCTTACTGCTTTCAGCCCACCTTCCATTATCATACAGAGCTACCTCTCAGCCTCCACAGACAACTTACCCCCAGATTTTTAGTAGGCAAGACTTTACTGCTGTCTACAATGTTGTTTTCCCCTATGATGCAGATGGGCTGAATTTGTAGAATCTACCTGTAAGAGAAGTATTGCTGTACCCAGTATTAATGTAGCTCATACAAACCTTCATCAGACAAGAAAGATGCTCTTAGGCAGCAACTTTCTCTGTTCAGGATGAGATGTAAGACGGTGCCATCATCTCTGAAGTATTAAAACTGACATATCTCTGAGCTGGACCTCATTGAAAGCCTTGTAACTGTGTAGGCTATGCTGTTTGTAGGCAGGTGCTGTCTGCTTCCTCCACTGTAGGTGGCGCCTGAATGGAGTAGCATCCCAGCTTGGAGAGGAAGTCAGGGGAAACTTGGCTTCTCTGTGGTTTCCTAGGAGCAGCATTCCGGTTGGCTGTGCTGAATTCGGGTGACTTTTGGTGGCCATCTTGGGTCAGCAGAGTCTTTTTAAGTCCCTTCTCTCCAGGTTTTGCCGCACATTCACGTTTGGGTAGTATAGGAACAGGTCTTCCATCTGTCGGACAGAATTAGAGGCAGGGAAAGGTTCCATATTCGAAGGGAAAGCTTAGGGTTCACAATTTCCTTGGACAACTTCCTGTTTGGGTACAGGACAGCCAGGCCACATTTTGCCCCTCCAGACAGATGGGGGTTTATTTACTAAAGCTGGAGAGTCCAAAATCAGACTCCCTTCTGCATAGAAACCAATCAGCTTCCAGGTTTCATTGCCAAAGCTTCATTGAACAAGCTGAGGTTAGAAGCTGATTGGTTTCTATGTAGAAGGGAGTCTGATTTTGGACTCTCCAGCTTTAGTAAATAAACCCCATGCTGTCAGTATGGCTGATACATGCTCTGCTACACCTTGTTGGCATTCAAGCTCCTGGTTGGGTCTTTTCCTTCCAGGCTTGTTGTGAACTCTTTTACCTTTACTACGATACAAGTTCTGCCTTTGCCACAGTACAATTTCTATTGATTGCACCTAACCTGTGTGTTAGTTATTACCACCATACCATGCTGCACCCATCCACATGCTAGTCAGTTCTTCCAATTATTGTGATAAAAATAACAATATTTTTAAGGACTTTTTTGCTGTTGCCACTACCTTTAATACAAAGATACTCCATTAAAACAAGTCACAGCTACAATACTTGAACATTTCTGCCCATGGCGGTCCATGTGCACTGGCAGAAAAAACCTTTGCTGTTGCACCAGACACGGGAAAGCTGATTAGATTTCTTAGTTGCCTAAATAATGTAATTGTTCATGCTTTCTCTTAACAGCCCATTTAATCTTCTTACAAAACAAATATGCTCTGTTTTTGCCAATATCTCTTTTTCTTTATCACAGTCATTCCTTTGTATTCAGCACATCACAACTGCCCTTTTACATAGAGTGTGAAATTGTTTCCTCTGAACTAGTCGCTCTGTAGAAACCATTATGGGATTTCTGTGGCCTAAACTCCTTCAGTCTAATGTGTAATGTGGAAAACAAGGTTATTTATAGGGCATAATTACATAAAAAAAAAAAAGCATCTTATTTTTGCTGAACAACAGCATTAGGTGTAAAATGAAATAATCTATTTAGAATTGCCTGCTGCTATGTACAGTGCTGTTCATACATATCCCCAGCAATCCTTGATTCAGACCCCATGAGGAACCTACTGCATCTGCATGGATTTTTTGTTATTATAGATTTTTTCCAAAAGGTAAATGTATAAATCAAAGGTCAGATCGTCCAAAACATTCAGGACAGGTTCAAACTGCTGCAATATGATTTTGATCTGACTTTCAGTTCAATTATGCAGTGCAGCTTGGATGCAACTTTCATAAGATTTGTATATTGTGTGGAGTCAAAATGGAACTGGAATCACACAAAGTAGTACAGGAACCTTTTCCTAAATCGCTCCATATTGAGTCACATTGATGTAAACGGTCACCATTGAAAATAATGTGATTTCCCTTGTCATGAGATTCTGTGCTGCTCAAGTCACATCTGAAATCACACTAGTATGAACCAGGCCTTAGGCTTGCCATACACTACACAATTTTCTGTCCAATTTCTGCTCAATTTCCTTTAGATTTACCTTCAACTATGTAGTGCAAGGGCCTGCCTAATTGGATACAATTGAAAGTGTTGTTTAGGTTTGACCTTATATTATAGGTTTTTTGGTAAATCTAAAGCAAAATCCTCTAGAAAATTGTATAATGTATGGCCAGCCTTACTTCCCTTAGGAGTATAACAATTAAAAATCATTAATAATCATGTCATTCTGATATACACTCTGTACATCTCATTTCCAACATATGTTATATTGCTATATATTTTAAGTAACTTTATCACAAACCTGCCAGAGACAAGGTGTTGGAGGATGACGAGGGTGGTCTCTCTTGCACCTTCAGTCCAAACACTGCCATGCATGTTTGCTAAGAGGACAAAAGGTTTAGATAACCGCTTCCCGACTGCCCTATAGCAGAACTACTGCTATGAGGCGGCAGGACGGTGCAAAATCACGTATATATACATGATTATGTATTTCCAGGTAGGGGGCATATGCCATTTGCGGCTACAGCTGTCGATCACAGGTTCCCGGCTGGCGATTCCCTGCTGGCAGCCGGTGATCGCAAAGTATTGCTGATGGGGGAGAGGTGTGTATGTAAACAATACAGATCTCTCCCCTGTCAGCTCCAGAGCAATACAAAGCAGTGTGCTTACACAGTAAAACACAGAACTCAGCACACAGTAAAACACACACAGCACACTGTTAACCCTTTGATCGTCCCAGATGTTAACCCCTTCCTGCCCAGTGTAATTAGTACAGTATCAGTGCTTTTTATTAGCACTGATCACTGTATTAGTGTCACCAGGGATGTCAGTGACAGTGTCCCCCCCCCCCAGTGTCAGAATGCACACCGCAGCAGTCCCACTATAAGTCGCTGATCACTGCCATTACTAGTATAAAAAATAAATAAATACAAATGCCATTATATATACCGCCATTTGTAGATGCTATAACTTTCACGTAAACCAATTCATTTACACATATTAGGATTTTTTTTTTTAGCAAAGACATGTAGCAGAATACATTTTGGCCTAAATTTATGATGAAATGAGATCTGTAAAATTTTTTAATGGACATGTTTTTATAGCACAAAGTCAAAATATTGGTTTTTTTTTTCAAAATTGTCAGTCTGTTTTTGTTTATAGCACAAAAAATTAAACGCACAGGCGATCAAATACCACCAAAATAAAGCTCCATTTGTGGGGAAAAAAGGACATAAATTTAATTTGGGTGCAGCATTGCATGACTGTGCTATTGTCAGTTAAAGTAACGCAGCGCCGTATCGCAAAAAATGGCCTGGTTAGGAAGAGGGGTAAATACTCTGGAGGGCAAGTGGATAATCTGCATTCGGGGCTGCTGTCCTGCACCTGCACGACTGTTAGATTGGGACAAGTGTCTCTGTCCAAGAAGCCGTTGAGTCCCAGTAGACATGAATAGGTTGCCTGCATGCAGCACCTGGCAGCTGAAGTCACATAAACCAGGCGTTTATTTATGGACTACAGGTACCACCGCCTGTCTGGATAAGGCGTTAAAAAAAACACTTTGTCTGTACACATAGAGGTTTCATGCGTGTATAAATTCATCATGTCACTTGAGAAACTCTGGAACATTGTTTCTTCACCATGCATACTCCCTAAGTTTATGATAGGCTGAATTGAATTTAGGCCTTGTTCACAAAAATGCAGACAGTCTGCTTCCAAGGCCAATCATTCACAAATAATTGCTCTATGAGCGATTACATGCAAGGGACCACAAATAGCTGTGGGAGCTGTCAGCCTCCCAATGTTGGAGTCCGCCCACAGCTAATTGCAGGGACCTCCACTAGGTCTCCCAAATCTAATTGCAAACAGCCATATTTGTAAATATGAATAGGACCTTAGAGTAGATTTGAAGATTTGGTTTAAAAATTACAAACAGGCAGGTTCTTTATTGCAGAATAGACATGCAATGCACTAAAATACATCTACCTGCCTGTTCCCAGTCCCCTGCAGAATGTACACTGAGCTGCCCATGCACATCTCAGTTTACTTTCCAGCACACTAGCAGTGTATCAGGATAACTGCACTCCCATGCATGCGTGGGACTGATGTCATCCCGTGTTGGCTGAAGATCGCCACCTGGAGGACAGGCTTTTCAGTGCGGGTCATCATTAGTTTCTATACAGCTGTAATTGAAAGTGAGTTAACATATCACATTCCTCTATGGCAAGGATCATGCACAGGTCCTGACAGAAATGTCTTGTAAAGAGTAAAAATACGGCACAGAAGATTATTGTAGGTGTTAGCTTACCAAGTATTGATTAACTGGGAGAAAGTAGGTGCCTCCAGGGAGCGAATATTTAGGAAGATATTTCACATTAAAGTTAAAGAACACGGTATAAATGGACATTTTCCTTTTCTTTTTTTGAGGCTCTGTTCACACCAATGTGTTTTTTAGTGCTTTTTGCAGAAATGCACTACAGCCCATTTAACATAAAAAAGAAGAAGAAATATAAGTGAGCGCATATAATGAAATCTTATAGTTAGTGTCATACCTAGTAGTCATCAGTACTGTAGGGCAAGGCTTGAAAAAGCCGCTCACACCCGCTCGCCAAATGCGAGGAGAAATCCCTCTGTGGCAAGCGGCGAGCAGCAAGCACAGATGAAGCATGGAGCGACTGCACCTGCGCTCCAAGCCTCATTGTGAAGCCGAGTTCCGGTTTACAACTTCCAGTTTCCGGCTTCTTTGGCTCCGCCACTGAGGGGACACCCTCTCCACCGCCGCGGGGGACTCGGAGGGACTAGGAGTAAGTACTGTATACAACATGTCATATCACTATAATGGAGTACAGGGGAGAGCTGGGATATACATTACTGTATACATGTAATATCACTATAATGGAGTACAGGGGAGCTGGGATATACATTACTGTATACATGTCATATCACTATAATGGAGTACAGGGGAGGGGATATGTACATTACTGTATACATGTCATATCACTATAATGGAGTACAGGGGAGGGGGATATACATTACTGTATACATGTCATATCACTATAATGGAGTACAGGGGAGGTGGGATATACATTACTGTATACATGTCACATCACTATAATGGAGTACAGGGGAGCTGGGATATACATTACTGTATACATGTCACATCACTATAATGGAGTACAGGGGAGCTGGGATATACATTACTGTGTACATGTCATATCACTATAATGGAGTACAGGGGAGCTGGGATATACATACTGTATACATGTCATATCACTATAATGGAGTACAGGGGAGCTGGGATATACATTACTGTATACATGTCATATCACTATAATGGAGTACAGGGGAGCTGGGATATACATTACTGTATACATGTCATATCACTATAATGGAGTACAGGGGAAGCTGGGATATACATTACTGTATACATGTCATATCACTATAATGGAGTACAGGGGAGCTGGGATATACATTACTGTATACATGTCATATCACTATAATGGAGTACAGGGGAGCTGGGATATACATACTGTGTACATGTCATATCACTATAACTATAATGGAGTACAGGGGAGCTGGGATATACATTACTGTATACATGTCATATCACTATAATGGAGTACAGGGGAGCTGGGATATACATTACTGTATACATGTCATATCACTATAATGGAGTACAGGGGAGCTGGGATATACATTACTGTGTACATGTCATATCACTATAATGGAGTACAGGGGAGGTGGGATATACATTACTGTATACATGTCACATCACTATAATGGAGTACAGGGGAGCTGGGATATACATTACTGTGTACATGTCACATCACTATAATGAGTACAGGGGAGCTGGGATATACATACTGTGTACATGTCATATCACTATAATGGAGTACAGGGGAGCTGGGATATACATTACTGTATACATGTCACATCACTATAATGGAGTACAGGGGAGTACAGGGGAGCTGGGATATACATTACTGTATACATGTCATATCACTATAATGGAGTACAGGGGAGCTGGGATATACATACTGTGTACATGTCATATCACTATAATGGAGTACAGGGGAGCTGGGATATACATTACTGTGTACATGTCATGTCACTATAATTGAGTACAGGGGAGCTGGGATATACATACTGTATACATGTCATATCACTATAATGGAGTACAGGGGAGCTGGGATATACATTACTGTATACATGTCATATCACTATAATGGAGTACAGGGGAGCTGGGATATACATTACTGTGTACATGTCATATCACTATAATGGAGTACAGGGGAGGTGGGATATACATTACTGTATACATGTCACATCACTATAATGGAGTACAGGGGAGCTGGATATACATTACTGTGTACATGTCATATCATATAATTGAGTACAGGGGAGCTGGGATATACATACTGTGTACATGTCACATCATCACTATAATGGAGTACAGGGGGAGCTGGGATATACATTACTGTATACATGTCACATCACTATAATGGAGTACAGGGGAGCTGGGATATACATTACTGTGTACATGTCACATCACTATAATTGAGTACAGGGGAGCTGGGATATACATTACTGTGTACATGTCATATCACTATAATGGAGTACAGGGGGCTGGATATACATTACTGTATACATGTCATATCACTATAATGGAGTACAGGGGAAGGGGATATACATTACTGTATACATGTCATATCACTATAATGGAGTACAGGGGAGCTGGGATATACATTACTGTATACATGTCATATCACTATAATGGAGTACAGGGGAGCTGGGATATACATTACTGTATACATGTCATATCACTATAATGGAGTACAGGGGAGCTGGGATATACATTACTGTATACATGTCATATCACTATAATGGAGTACAGGGGAGCTGGGATATACATTACTGTGTACATGTCATATCACTATAATGGAGTACAGGGGAGGTGGGATATATACATTACTGTATACATGTCATATCACTATAATGGAGTACAGGGGAGCTGGGATATACATTACTATATATACATGTCACATCACTTTAATGGAGTACAGGGGAGCTGGGATATATACATACTGTATACATGTCATCGCTATAACGGAGTACAGGGGAGCTGGGATATACATTACTGTGTACATGTCATATCACTATAATGGAGTACAGGGGAGCTGGGATATACATTACTGTATACATGTCATATCACTATAATGGAGTACAGGGGAGCTGGGATATACATTACTGTGTGTACATGTCATATCACTATAATGGAGTACAGGGGAGGTGGGATATACATTACTATATACATGTCATATCACTATAATTGAGTAGGGGAGCTGGGGATATACATACTATATACATGTCACATCACTTTAATGGAGTCCAGGGGAGCTGGGGGATATACATATTGTATACATGTCATCGCTATAACGGAGTACAGGGGAGCTGGGATATACATTACTGTGTACATGTCACATCACTATAATGGAGTACAGGGGAGCTGGGATATACATTACTATATACATGTCATATCACTATACAATGAAGTACAGGGGAGCTGGGATATACATTACTGTACTGTATACATGTCACACCACTATAATGGAGTACAGGGGAGCTGGGATATACATACTGTATACATGTCACATCACTATAATGGAGTACAGGGGAGCTGAGATATACATACTGTGTACATGTCACATCACTATAATGGAGTACAGGGGAGCTGGGATATGCATACTGTATACATGTCACATCACTATAATTGAGTACAGGGGAGCTGGGATATACATTACTGTATACATGTCACATCACTATAATGGAGTACAGGGGAGCTGGGATATACATTACTGTATAACTGTCACATCACTATAATGGAGTACAGGGGAGCGGGATATACACATTACTGTGTACATGTCATATCACTATAATGGAGTACAGGGGAGCTGGGATATACATTACTGTATACATGTCATATCACTATAATGGAGTACAGGGGAAGCTGGGA